TGTATATGTATATATATGTACGTGTGTGTGTGTGTATTACATTTTCTTTATCCATTCATCAGTCGATGGACATTTGGGCTCTTTCCATAATTATGGTTGATAATGCTGCTGTAAATATCAGGGTGCATGTGCCCTTTGAATCAGTATTTTTGTATCCTTTGGGTAAATACCTAGTAGTACAATTGCTGGATCATAGGGTAGCTCTATTTTTAACTTTTTGAGGAACCTCCATACTGTTTTCCAGAGTGGCTGCACCAGTTTGCATTCCCATCAGGGTTCCCCTTCCTCCACATCCTCGCCAACACCTGTTGTTTCCTGTGTTAATTTTGACCATTCTGACAGGTGTGAGGTGGTATCTCATTGTGGTTTTGATTTGTAGTTCTCTGATGATGAGTGATATTGAGCATCTTTTCATGTGTCTGTTGGCCATCTAGTTGTCTTCTTTGGAAAAATGTTTATTCATGTCTTCTGCCCATTTCTTAACTGGATTATTTGTTTTGTGGGTGTTGAGTTTGATAAGTTTATAGATTTTGAGTACTAACCATTTATCAGGTATGTCATTTGCAAATATCTTCTCCCATTCTGTAGGCTGCCTTTTAGTTTTGTTGATTGTTTCCTTCGCTTTGTGAGGATTGGTATTAAATCTTCTCTGAATGTTTGGTAGAATTCACCAGTGAAGCTGTCTGGTCCTTGGCTTTTGTTTGTTGAGAGATTTTTTTTTTTTTTTAATTACTGATTCAATTTCCTTACTAGTAATCAGTCTGTTCAGATTTTCTATTTCTTCATGATCTGGTCTTGGAAGAGTGTATGTTTCTAGTAATTTATCCATTTCTTCCAGGGTGTCCAGTTTGTTGGCCTGTAATTATTCATAGTAGTCCCTTATGATTCTTTGTTTCTCTGCAGTATCAGTTGTAACTTCTCTTTCATTTCTGATTTTATTTATTTGAGCCCTCTCTTTTTTCCTGGTGAGTCTAGCTAAAGGTTTTCCAGTTTTATCTCTTCAAAGAACCAGCTCTTAATTTCATTGACATTTTCTATTGTCTTTTTAGTCTCCATTTCGTTTATTTCTGTTCTGATCTTTCAGATATCTGCTATTTCTGATATTTCCTTCAATTAACTTTGGGCTTCATTTTTTCTTCTTCTAGTTCCTTTAGGTGTAAATTAGATTATTTGAGATTTTTCTTGTTTCTTGAGTTAGGCCTTTATCACTATGAACTTCCTCTTAGAACTGCTTTTGCTGAATCCCATAGATTTCAGTATGGTGTATTTCCATTTTCATTTGTCTCAAGGTATTTTTTGGTTTGTCCTTTGGTTTATTTGTTGATTCATTGGTTGTTCAGCAGCATGTTGTTTGATTTCCATGTGTTAGTGATTTTTCCAGTTCTCTTCTTGTAATAACTTTCTTGTTTCATACCACTGTGGTTGGAAAGATGTTTGATATGATTTCAATCTTCTTAAATTTATTTAAATTTGTTTTGTAGCCTAGCATATGATCTGTCTTGGAGAATGTTCCAGGTGCAGTTGAGAAGAATGTGTATTCTGCTGCTTTTGGATTGAATGTTTTGTGTATCTTTACATTAAGTCCATCTGGTCCAGTAAGTCATTTAACGCTGATGTTTCCTTTTTTATTTTCTGTCTGGATGATCCACTAATGTAGTGGGGTATTAAAGTCTCCTGCTATAAATGTATTGCTATAAATTTCTCCCATTTAGGTGCTTCTCTGTTAGGTGCATAAATATTTACAAATGTTATATCCTCTTGTTAGATTGACCCCTTTATCATTATTTAATGTACTTCTTTGTCTTTTATTACAGTCTTTGTTTTAAAGCCTGTTTTGTCTGATATAGCTAGAGCTTTGCCTGATATAACTCCAGCTTTTTTTTTTTTTAATTTCTATTTTCATGGAACATCTTTTTCCATCCCTTCACTTTCAGTCCGTGTATGTCCTTACTTCTGAAGTGAGTCTTTTTTACAGGAAAGATGTAAAGGGACTCTTTTAAGCTGAAAAGAAGGGGCACTAGTATATATATATATATACTATATATATATATGTAGTATATATATAATAGTCTATTTTAGGTTCATAGCAGCTTAGCTTGAATGCATTCTAAAGGTCTACATTTTTATTCCCTCCACCCCATGTTTTGTGTTTTTGATGTCACATATTACATCTTCTTATTTTGTGTATCCCTTAACTAATCATAGAAGTTATAATTATTCTTGCTACTTTTGGTTTTTAACCTTCATACTAGCTTTATTAAGTGATTAATCCACTACCTTTGCTATATGTTTACCTTTACCAGTGAGATTTTTACTTTCATATGTTTTCTTGTTGCTAATTAATATGCTTTCTTATATTTCTTATAAGGCCAGTTTAGTGGCGATGAACTCCTTTAGCTTTTGCTTGTCTGGGAAATTCTTCATCTCTCAATTCTGAATGATGGCCTTGGTGGGCAGAGGTTTCTTGGTTGGAAGTATGTTCCTTTTAGCACTTTCCATGTGTCCTGTCACTCCCTTCAGGCCTGTAAAGATTCTGCTGAAAAATCTACTGATCGTCTGGTGGTTCCCTTGTACATAACAAGTTGTTTTTCTCCTGCTGCTTTTAAGATTCTCTCTTTATCTTTAACTTTTGGCATTCTAATTATAATGTGTATTAGTGTAGATCTTTTTGAGTTCATCTGATTTGGAACATTCTGGGCTTCCTGGATTTGGATATGTGTTTCCTTCCCCAGGTTAGGAAAGTTCTCAGCCATTGTTTCTTCAAATAAGTTTTTTGCCCTGTTCTCTTTCTTGTTTCTTCTGGGACTCCTATAGTGCGAACGTTATTCTGTTTGATGTTGTCCCATGGGTCCCTTAAGCTATCTTCACTTTTTACATTCCTTTTTCTCTTCACTGCTCAGTGTGGGTGAGTTCCACTGCCCTATTTTCTACATCACTGATTCTTTCTTCTGCTTCATCTAGTCTGCTGGTGAACCCCTCTAGTATATTTTTCAGTTCAGTTATTGTATTCTTCAGCTCTGTGACTTCTGTTTGGTACTTTCCTTTATTGCCTATCTCTGTTGAAGTTCTCACTGTGGTCATTCATACTTCTCCCAAGTTTGGTGAGCATCTTTATGACCATTACTTTGAACTCTTAATCAGGTAAGCTACTTATCTTCATTTCATTAAGAGTTTTTCTGAGGTTTTTTCTTGTTCTTTCATTTGAAACATATTCCTGTTTACTCATTTTGCTTGACTCTGTGTTTGTTTCTGTTTTAGGCAAAACAGCTACCTTTCTCAGTCTTGAAGGAGTGACCTTGTATAGGGGAGGAACCTATTGTTTAACCTTGCCCTAGCTCTTGCTTGTCTCTCCACCCTTTGTGATTGTCCAAGCAGCCTGATTTATTCTCGATATGTCCCAGTTATTGAGAGTGTGCCAAGCCTGTCAGTGTTCCAAAGGGAGAATTCATTCATTGCTGACTTTCAGGCTAATTGGAAGCCAGACCCTCAAGCAGCAGCTTTCAAAGTATGCAAATATATGCAGTTCTGTGGGACTACAATCATAAATCCTGCTGGCCTTCAGACCAGGTAGTTTGGAGGTGTCTCTTGGGTGACATTTATAAAATTTGGGGCTTCAAATGAGTGTATAAGCTCTTTTCTGGGAGTTACTGGCAAGTTGTAGCAAGGCTGAGTGAGAGCACAAAGCTGGCATCCCCTGGCCTACTTTTTCTGAGAATATTCCATAGCTGCTAGATGTGTGGTGAACCTGAGGCCTGCCCTTCGGGCTGGAGCTCCAGGACGAGTACATAGGCCTTTTTCACAGAAAGACTGGGGTGTGTTTCAGTCCACCGTCTGTGCAGTGCCCTGGGGGTGCTATCATGCCAAGAACTGTCTCTGTGATTGTTACAGTCCCGTGGGACCCAAGAACACAAGCCTCCCTGGCTACCAAAGCCAGGTGATCCAGGAGAGACCCCTGTGTGGACTGCGCATGCCTGAGAGTTTTAGCAAGGCAGCAGAAAAGTGCAGGGCTGGGGTGTGCCTGCCAGCTTTAGTGGGCAGCAAGAGAGCACAGGGCCACATGTGTCTCCTGGTTTTAGTGGGGCAGTAGAATAGTGCAGGGACTGTGTGCCTCCTGGCACTAGCAAAGTACACGGCAGCATAAAAATGACACCTTCCAGGGCCTCTGTCCCTGGAGAGAGTTCCAGCAGGCTCCTACCCCCTCCAGCAGATGCTTTAAAATTAGCAAATGAATCTCCTTTACATAGTGTAGGTACTTTTCAAACTGCTGCTTTTACACTGGGTGAGTGAGTCTGCATGTGACCCCTTCAAGAGCAATATCTTTATGTCCCTTCAGCCCTTCAGGTCTCTACAGGTATAAGCCCCAATGGTTTGCAAAGACAGGTGTTTAGGGGGCTCATCTCTTTGGTGCAGGTCCCGAGGATTGGGGTATCTGATGTGGGGCACTAACCCCTTAATCCTCAAGGAGAAGCTCCATATTCATGAGATCTCTCCCCATCATGGGTCACTATGCCAGGGTGAGGTTTTTGGCAAGACTGTGTCTCTGCCTCTCCTTCCATTTTGATGTGGCCCTTTATTGCCTGTTGTGAAGGCACCATTCAGCTAGTTTTAAGGTCTTTTTCAGAGAGAATTACTCCATATGTAGCGGTGTGTCTGTGGGAGATGAGTTCAGGATCTTCCTATGTCTCCATCTTAAATTGCCCCATCTTTCTGCACATTTCAAATTAGATGCATTTGGAATGTAACTTTGTATTGTCTCTGGTTAATGAAAATATCAGTGATTTTTACCTTCTTCTTTGCACTATTTTGCATGTGTTTTACAGGTTTTTTAGAATGAAATGAGTTACTTTTATAATTAATCAAACCCTAATATCATATATATATAAAATATATACTTTACTGGATATTTATTTTATGTGATATTTTATAATTTTGTCTTCATTTTGGGAGGGAATACATATTTTAGTATTTTAACCTAAAAAAAAGTATCTCTCCTCATCCAGGTCTATTAAAATAAGATTAGCCACTTTGTTGGATACTCCTGGTGTTGAAAATCTTGTTAGCACTCTCATGCTGAATAAAAGTATATTGGAGGATTTAAAGCAATACAATGAGGCTCGCAGAGACCATGTAAGTACCTGCTATGACCAGATTGGTTTCCTTTTCCTTGTGATATGGGCCATTATGACCCACATAGGATCAACCTTAAAGTTTCCTTGGATCCCAGTTGGAGATAGTTGGAGAATTGCACAGTGGGAAGTGGGGGAGGTGAGGTTGGAAGATGGGAACAAGAAAAGAAAAACAAAGGAGACTGGGGTTTAAGGATGTGAGGGTGTTCTCTTCACTGGTGGCCCCAAGGTGGGGTGCTGATCAGATATTCTAAATCCTTATCACAGGCATGGAAAATGTGGACTTGATCCAGACAAGTATCCCAGAATAGGATAGATCTCAGGACTTAGAATAGGCAGATCTGACTGAGGTTAGGGAATGGTAGCTCAGGAATCTGTGGGTGCCTGGTGCTCACCCAGGAACACTGGATATCAGACTTAGGACAGTGGGACCCCATTTGACCCTACTGGTTGGTGATTCTGTCTAGACTTTTTTGTTGAGCTGCCTACATTCTCAGGTAATGGATGGGCTGTCAAACACCTGTATGACCAGTGTTAGGTTCTCTTTCTAGTATAGTAACTATACTGTACTTTTGCCCTTGCAAAGGACAAGCTAGCAGTGGTCCTAATGTTAATGCTGCTTTCTTAAGGACCATGACAGTTTACTTAACCAGACATGGAACAGTGCATGTAGTTAGAGAAATGCTTAGTTACTTTTGTGATAAATTTTATTTTGAAAAAAGTTGTATTGAACTATAACCAATAAACAGCTGGATAGGTTCACAATTTGAATATACCATGTAATTAATGAGCACCTGTTTCAGGAAACAGACTAACCCCAGCCTGCCTGAAGTCCCCTTCATGCTCCCATTCAGTTACTTTCTCCTCAGGTTAATACCACCTTAACTTCTAAGATCATAAATTGGTTATGCCTGTTTTTGAACTTTATTTAAAGGGATCACATAGTATGTTTTCTGGTATCAGGTTTTTTTGCTCAGCACTGTGTTTGTGAGATTCACCCATATTGTGCTGTAAAGTATTTCATTGCATGAAGATGCCACAACTTATTTCTTCTTTCTACTGTCATTTGGGGGAGTTTCCAGTTATTGGCTCTTTTGAATAAGCACTTTAGTTAAATTTTAGTCATCAAGAGGGAGACACCAAACACCTAAACACAGTGAAATATTTAATATTTATCAAGACATCAAATTAAAATAAAACTTCTCTCTAGCACATGTTTTCTGTTTTGGTTTGTCTTGATCTTTTTGGGTTTTTTGTTTTTTGTTTTTCATTTATTTGCTCCTTCCCTCCTGACCTGCCAATGCAGTATGATGTATCACCCTGTTCTCAAAGTGGGGTTTAAGGAGTCATAGGGGTCTCTGAGACATCAATTTTCAGGGGGGTTCTGTGAAGTGAAAACTATTTGCATAATAAGAATAAGGAACTATTTTCCTTTTCCACTGTATTGATATTCACACTGATGGTGCAAATGCAGTGGTGGGTAAACCTTGGGAGCCTCGGTGTGGATCAAGGCAGTGGGCACCAGATTTCATCGGTTTCTTCATCGCCATTCACTCATAGTAACAATAAGGAAAAGAGAGCCTAGTGAAGATAGCATTGCACATCAACAGAGTGGCTAAAACACAAAGAGAGGCACCACTAAATGCTAGGGAGGATGCAGGGAAATAGGATCATTTATATGTTGCCAGTGGGAATGTAAAATGATACCATTGCTCTGGAAGACATTTTGGCTGTTTCTTCAAAAACCTCAAAGCAACAATCATATGACCAAGTAATTGCACTCCTGGGCATTTATCCCAGAGAAATGAAGACTTGTACACGATTGTTCATAAGCAGTCAGAATTGGCCCAGATGTCCTTCAACAGGTGAGTGGGTAAACTGTGGCACATCCATGCCATGGAGTAATACTTAACAATACAAAGGAATGCATTGTTGATGCATGCATCAACTTGGATGAATCTGCAGAGAATTGCGCTGAGCTGGGGGATGGGAGGGAGCCAAACCCTAAAGGTTACATACTATATAATTCCACCTATTTGGCATTTTTGAAATAACACAATTTTAGAAATGGAGAAGAGATTATTTGTTGCCAGGGGTTAGGGACAAGAGGAGGACAGGGAGTAGATGGGTATGGTTCTTGTAGGGCAACCCAAGGGATCTTTGTGTTGGAACCGTTCAGTCTCTTGACTGTGGTGGTGGATACATGAACCTCTACAGGGTATAAAATTGTGTAGAACTTGATACACATACACACAATCATAGCAATGTGCATTCCCTGCTTGTCATAATATACTAGAGTTTTGCAGAACATTATCATGATGGGATACTGGGCAACATGTACAAGGAATTTCTCTGTATTATTTCTTAAAATTGCTTGTGAGTCTGCAGCTATCTCCATATAAATTTCAATTAAAAAAAAGGAAAAGCTAGTTTCACTTGAAGCAGTAAAAATTATTAACTTTATTAAACTTCAATCCTTAGGTACCTATATTTTCAATGTTCTGTTGTGACAAAAAAATGAGAAATGCACATAATGCTCTTCTGCTGTAGACTGAAGTTGTTGCTTGTTTCAAGAGAAAGCATTTCTGCAATTATTTGATCTTCATGCTGACCCAGCCACTGTTCTCCTGCAACACCATTTTTACTTGAAAGAACAGCTGGCAGACAAAATGTGGTTATTCGGTCTTGGAGACCAGACGTTTTCTTAAAAATGAATGAAGTGAGGCTGTCTCTCCAAGGAAACAACTGACAGCATTTGTTCCCTCTGATAAAATCCAAGCTTTCAATAAAAAATCAGAATTTTGGAAAATCAGTATCTCTCATCATGAGCTTGACAGCTTCCAAAAACTTAAAAATTGTTCTGATGAGGCTGGTGATGATATTATCAAATGTGATGCTTTGATATTTTGTCATAGGTCAACATTTGGGAAATATGTGTAAGTTTGGTGAACCAGTATTTTCTAGATAAAACATGATGTTACAAAATCACACATAGTAAAAGATTCATTCAAAGAGCAGAATAGACGGATGGGTTTTAATGTGACAATGTATACCAATTTATTGATATGGTTTCAGATTCCACATTGCAGCTCATCTTTAAAACAGTACCACTTGTTGAGTTTTGGTGGATCATCAGAGAAGAATATCCATAATTATCTGAAACGGTTGTTTAAATACTTCTCTGCTTTCCAACTCTGTATCTTTGTGAAGACAGATTTTTTTTTTCATTTATTTCAACCAAAATAACATATTGCAACAGATTGAATGCAGAAGTAGATATGAGCATCCAGCTGCCTTCCATTAAGCCAGACATTAAAGAGATTTGCAAAAATATAAAACAATGCTACTCTCCTCTCTAAATATTTTTGTCAAATTTTAAATTTTGTTTTAATTAGTAAATTAAACAAAAATGAATAAACAAATTTTTTCTCGGTTTGAATTTCTAATACAGAAACTATCAATAGATAGCTTTAACACACTACTCCATGCTCTTTGGAGTCCTCAGGGAATAGGGTCCTGAGATCATAATTTTTGAGAACCACTGATGTAGAGCTAAAGAAAATGGATTCAAAGTCAAAGGGACTGTGGTTTGAATCACAGATTCATCCCTTACTAGCTGGAAGTCTTGGCATGTTCCTCAGCACCCCAAACTTTATTTTCTTGTAAGTGAAATAGAGGTAGTGATAATATTTACCTTGTAGGAATGAGGATTCAGTGAACACAGGGAAGACATTTAACTTAGTACATGGTCCAAAGGTAAGTACTGATGGATGTTGGCTCTGACTGTCATTGTCATTAGGTGACCATGCTTAAGGCCCACGACTGACTCCTTAGAGAAACCTTGATAGTTATATTTTTAAGGGTCTTAAAATCCATGCTTATCTTTTCAGGATGGAACACCAATGAAGGCATTTGTAGCTGAAGTCGCAGAACAAATAGTTGGCATTGCAGTTATCAGAGATGAAATGGTAAATTGCAAAATAGACATTGATTTCCTGGATTGTGCCTTTTTATATCATGAATTAGCGCACAATGCCTCTTTTTCATTTTTGCATATTTAATATGAATGACCTTTTTTTTGAAGACTATACATTTTTTGGAAGGATATAAATCATCATCTGCTTTCATCCCACTTGGTTGACTTTGAATTTCCCATTTCTTTTTCAGTTTAAAATATGACAGAGAATACATGAAAACATTCATGTAAAAATTCAAATAACCTTCCATTAGGACCCCCCCAAAAGTCTTACTGCTCTCCCCAAAGGATTACTACTATTAATAGTTGGGCATCAGTCCATTCCTACAGTCTTCCTTGCACTTAATTACATGTATTCTGTGTGTGTGTGTGTGTGGGTGTGTGCGTGTGTATGGTCAATTGGACAAGTAATTTTATTTTTTTCCTAATGCACAACCAGTTCTTCCTAAATATTTACTGCTGAACAGTTCATTCTTTTCCTGCTGATTTAAAATGCCACCTTTACATTAAATTTCCATGTGCCTGTGCCTATTTTTAAATTCTCCTGTTCTGTTCCATGGATTCATTTGTCAATATCTGTTGTATTATCATGTCTGGTATATCTTGTAGGGGAGTCTTTTCTCACTTATCTTTTTTTTTTTTTTTAATAAATTCTCTTGCTTTTAATAAGACATTTCCTCTTTCAGATAAGCCTTCTAACACTTACTATGAACTTATTTGCACCTTCGTGGTTTTTATAGAACAATTTAGGCTGAATCGACAATTAAAATACTGAGACTTTCTAGGAACATGGCTTCCTGTTTTGGTGGTGGTGGTGTTGAATTCTTTTGGGTTCTTCACTAAAGTTTTGTGGCTTTTAGCATACAGGTTTCTTGTGCCAGGTATTTTGTTTGCCCCTATAGGTTTACTCTCTGCCCTGTACTGTCCCAGGGAGCCTGACCTGGTAGGCAACATCATGGGTACCTTCACCCCTCAGCTTCTAATTGGGTTTGGCCAATGGGGAGCCCTGAGGAGAGGAAGGGAGGAGAGTGAGGTTGGGATGCCTTGAGCTGGCTGGTGTCTCCATTGAGTTCCCTGACCTTTCCAAGGTGGCCTTTTCTCCAGGACCCTCTCAATTTGGACTCTAGTAACTAGTACCTCCCATGCCACCCACCTAGGGTGGTGATAGCTTGCAGTTGCTGCTACATCATCCTTACTGGTTTCCCTATGCCCTGCCCCTTCTTGTAAAAAGTCTTTTTGTTAAAACCACCTCCAGTTATCCTAATTTGAACATACCATCTGTTTCCTGCTGAGCCCTGACTGATACAGTCCTAGACATTTATGATTTATTTCTACTTGTTTTATATTTTTCTGGGTATTGTGATTAGATACTTTTTTTTTCATTGTACTTTCTAAATGTTTATTTTGGTATGTGAGAAAAATAATAATTTTTGTAATTGTGATCTTATTTCCAGCCACGTTTTGGAAGTCTCTTACTAGTTCTGAGAGTTTTCAAATGATTCTCTTTTCTGGTACAGCATCATTTCTACCATATTCTATTGGCCAAAGCAGTTACAGAGCATGCTCAGATTCCAGGGTTGGAGAAATGGACTCCACTTCTTGATGTGGGTATGGCAAGGTCTGTCTACCAAAGAGCATTTGGGATGCAAATTACTCTTGTGACCGTCTTTGGAAAATAGAATCTGCCACACCTCCTTTTAAAAATATTTATATTTTGGAGGAGGAGCAAGATGGCGGAGGAGTAGGAGACCTAAATTTCGTCTGGTCCCAGAAATTCAGCTAGATAGGGATCAAACCATTCTGAACACCTACAGACTCAACAGGAGATCGAAGAAAAGAATAGCAACAACTCTGAGCAGAAAAGCGACCACTTTCTGGAAGGTAGGACGTGCGGAGAAGTGAATCTGAGGCGATATTCGGGAAGATAGCAGCGGGGGGAGGGGGTCTCCGTCGGCCGCTTCTGGCAAGTCATCGAGCCGTGGAGCACAAAATCGGAACTTTTAGAAGTCGGCTCTGCTGAGGGACATCTCTCCAGTGGCTAAGCGGGGGGTGGAATTCTCACGGGACAGCGTGGTCTCAGGACCCTCGGGATCACAGAAAGACTGGGGGTGCCTGAGTGCGGCAGAGCTCCCAGGTATCAGAGCTGGGAAGCCGGCTGCAGAGACGGAGCC